AGCCTCACTGGAGAACAGCTGGTTAGATTCCATAAAATAACCAAGTATTTATACCGATCCACACATTTCTGCATCACCAAGAAGATGGCAATTGCAAGCCTGAAATTCAGTTTAGATCCATGAAAAGTACAAAAGGAGAATGAGAGGAAATTGAAATGTCAGAGCAGCTGGACCTCATGCTTCCCATTACCGCGTTTACGCCGAAAGCAAAGGATCAAGGAAAATCTTGAATTTCAGCGTTCACCATCACTCAAGTGCTTAGTCTTTTTTTCACGGACATATTCTATACATGCTACAATTTATTGCTTCATCACAAGGTAAGGTGTAAAATTAAAATGAAAGTTGAAAAAATGCCTTACTCAGTTTGTGCCGAGGGATGCAGGCATCCGCAGCCTGGCCCGCGGCCCCATGGCAGCTTGGCGCTGAGTGGACGTGAAGCTTGGCCACCTTCACCACCCATCCTCCTGGGAGACTCGCTCCCGTTCGGGGCTGTCTCCGAGCTCTCGTCCATGTGTGCACCCTGGGCGTCTTGCACTGAATTTAAATACAGTGAGCAAAGTGCAGGTTATTTATCAGTGCAGCATCTCAAAGGACACATGAACAGTAAGCAAACAACCAGAAAGGCATCCTGCATTTACTGACAAAAAAAAAACCAACAACCACAAACCATTTTTTATCGCAAGACAACACGAATTTAGGAGACTCGTGACAGGGAGACGGGGAGAAGCTGGACAAAGCATTGTGTGTGTTTCCACTAATGGCTGAAAGTCAGCGGCAATGGAAAGGGCAACCTGTTGCCCGTGGTGCATGCTTCTGGCAATTACAGACAATGAACAGTAACATCTCTGTGAAACACAGCAAATGCACGCATCATGTAACAGGTCAAGGGAAAAAAATTTCTGCCTTACCTTCCTCTACCTTCAGCTTGGGGATAAAATACTTTGGTTTTAGAGTCATAGAACCGTTTAGGTTGGAAAAGACCTTTGAGATCATTGAGTCCAACCGTTAACCCAGCACTGCCAACCCCACCACCAAACCACGTCCCTAAGCACCACATCTACACCTCTTTTAAATACCTCCAGGGATGGGGACTCCACCACTTCCCTGGGCAGCCTGTTCCAGTGTTTGCTGTTTTGTTCAAAATGTCATACAAAAATACACCAAAGCCCAATGCAGGATGGTAATTGCCTGCTCAGAAGAAGAGGATGACTCCTGTTACACTACATACTGTCTAAGTCTGGTTTACGTATATTTAAACATGAAATCAACTGCAACCTTTGTAAGAAATTTTTCTGCTTACTTCACCTGATTGTGTCCGACATATACACAACAAATGACTAGTAGGTAATAATGAACATCCACCACGGGACAACTGGCATCAACAGTGCTATATCGAGCTTATGGCCTAGAATGGTCCCCAAAAAGGTCAGGAGAATCAATAGGAAAGATGTCTAATGTGAAGCAAGAAGGTGGACACCTCAACTAGTCAATGAAGTGAGGTATTTTACATTTAAAAATGTGTGTTTAGTTGTGTGTGCATGTATACACATATGTATATACACTGACATAAATCTCTTATTCATACATCGTAAACATGTATATATGCACTGCAAACTTTTAATAACTTTTCTTTGTAAAGTCACATATCACAGACATCCATGGTAAAGACAAATACCTATGTTAAGACAAAAATGAATTTAAAAACATTTTTACACTCAGAATTTGTGATATCATCAGAGACATTTCGGTAATCATAAATGTCAATTATGGAAACCGGCTTAAGAACTGACCTTTGCATTGAGCTTCCCATTGAAAATAAATTTGATTAAAAAACAAACAACCAGCCCAACAAATCTTCTGTGGTTTTGCATGGGACTGATGGGAATTGATGTGCACAGCGGTAAAAGTTACCCTCTCGCTCCCAAGTCAAGACTCAGAGAAATGGTATTAAGGGCTTCTCCTTTTTATATTGGCACTGTAAGTTAACTTTCACTAAGTACATTCAAGCTAACTTTCAAGAAGCAAAAATTACAGGCTACTGAAATTCTGTTTTCTCATGCGATCTAGAAACTTGACACCTCTGAGTTTCTTCTTTCAGGAAAATTTGCGTTGCAAAGCCTTGTGCTATTGCTCTCAAGTCTGGGCAAAGGGACAGCATTTGGGGGGAGGTTAATCCCTGAACAGTAGTACTTGTCTTAAATGGTGAAAAACTGGTCCCTGTGGATCCTGCTAATGCCCTGTTACAAGGTCTATTATGGAAGACATGGAGGGGTCACCTTTCCTAGCAGCTTGCTTTCAGCATCCTCCTGTAGCAGAAATACTGATCTGAATGAAGTCTGGATGGGGACCTTTGGGTGTGGAGGCACCAGGAGAGCTGGCAGAAGGATAAAGCAGCGGCAGCTGGACCAGGCCATCCCAATCCCACCACATCCACAGGCAGCTACTCAAGGGATCGAGGTGAGGAAAGCAAAAGACCCACTGAGGCCATTAAGGGATGATGGTGGGAAGACGAAAGGCAGAACTGGAACTGTACAGTATCCTGACCAGGCGGGGAGACAACAGACATCGAATCCATTGAGTGCTGCCTAATGAACTCCCACAGAAACAGGACAGACTAAAGAGATAGGAGATCAGAGCCACCATCAATGTCCAAAGGGAACGAGGGCACATCCAACAACAAGCACATGTTCACCAACCTCAGAACAGCGCAGGAGATGGGATGCAGACTTCACAACAGGCACCTCTTGTCCTCTACATGACCACAAGGAACTCCAGACTCATCACTTGGACATCCATGCCTCGATGCTTTTGAGGATGTCAGCATGACAGAGTAAGTGTGATACCATTTTAGTTAAAATCAAATAACCTTCTTTTTCTGTATTGTCTCGTCTCAAGCTCTTCTGCATTAGCTCAGCTTTGTTGAAAAGAATGTCGCAAGAAATTCGTGTTGCATTGGGATGCTCTGATACAACACCAGTGGAGTATAAAGGAAGAGAGCATACTGTAGGAAAAGTAACAGCCTTCGCAGACTGTTCACTGCTTAGAGACTGTAACTGAATTAGTTTCTGGATTTGCTGAAGTGTGTTTTTACACCACTTTGAGGAGGGCAATAATTCGTTCTGGCAGGATTTTATACAAGTTACAGCCTAAGAAGCTGTTAGATTGTAAAAATAGTGACAATTTGGGTCTGAAAGTGAATCTGAGAGTCTGATTTTCAATTCCCAGTCTCAACTCCTGTATTTGTAAAACATGTACACAGATGAGATTTACCAATTGAGTAAGACCAATTTGAAAGTGTAGCTCTTGTTTGAGGAGCCTGGCAGGGCCAAATTATAACACTTACAGGAGCACAGGAATTTGCTAAGGATGTGTGAAAACAAACACATTATCAGAAATACAATTTACAAGCATCCAGTTAAAGGTCCATGTGAAAGCTTCTTCCTATCCTTTAGAAAGTAAATGGAACAGAAAAGAGAAAAACTCACCAGCATCCCAGTGCAATCTCCCGCGCAGTAACAAGAGCAGTCTCTAAAGCAATTTTCAATTAAATTAAAGACTGACAGAATTAAATTTGTAATACATTATTAATCATCTACGGAAAGAATATCTGATCAACTGTAGCTAAGAATCCTTCCCAGCTTGTTCCTCTTGAACTGAGATTATACTAATAACAAAACAAATAGGGAATGGTAGGACAACAGCTAACAGTAAATTCTGCGACACTCTGGTAGCTGATGTTATCTCACATCGCAAGAAAAAGTGTGCTCGTTTGAACCAAAGTGACATGATGGTTTAAGGCAAAATTATGAGAATATATAATTGACCATTTGAGCCACTTTTTATGGGAAGGGCAGTCTTTCTGCCTTTGTAACAGTACTATTGTTTTACTGCTGTGTAAGTCATGCTTCTGCCTGCTACTTGCACCATGTAGCAGCTACTTGAGGCAGAAAACATTACCTAAAACTCACCTGTTTTCTGAAGTGCTCACCAATAGGTAACTTATAACTTAAAGAAAAGTAAGCTATCGTTACGAATATTGACAGCATACAAAGATGGATGTTTCTAGTGCTGACTTGTGTTTTATCTCAGTAGTACATACATGCAGGAACAAGCATACCAGTACGATGAAAGACTTCAGCTTTATCATGGGCTCCCGCAAAATTGTTCAGAAAAACACAAAGCAGGTATATACGTAGCCCTCTGTAGATTGCAATGGTTCCTGAAATTCTGCAGTGAGGATCAAAAATACCAAGGAAATGTATGCATTTTATTAGACAAGTTTTTAAAATAATATTTTATTTCTTGAGTCAGTGGTATATTTAAAAACAATCTACTGTAAGAGTAAAAAGATTGTAAATAGTAAAAAATGAAAGTGTGATGACAATAAAAAACGCTAGAGTATAAAGTTAGTTTCCTTCCTCCCTCCCAACACCCCACCCCATCATTGTTCAATATTTCTCAGAGCCTAATATCTGGGAAAAAAAATTGCTTTTTTTTACACTTTCAGCAATTAGCAAATTAAAAATACGTAAGGCATTCTTTGCAGGTACATTAATTCATTATTACATGAAAAGCAGGCATCATAAAAATTAAAACATTCTAAAACCCATCATATATACAAACGCTGTACAGAATGACGGCACAAGGACAAAGTGATTCCATTCAGTTCATCCTAATCCACATGAAATATTACACATTAAAGAAACAAAGAAAAAGCTCTTCCCATTCCTGTACTCCATCGCTAGGTTCAGAATGACCAGGAGTCTCCTATCTGCCTACTCTGTTTCTTTTCCTATACTCTCGTGCCCGTCAGCAGCTACAAGGCTTCCTTGCTTTACCCACTGATCAACACCCAGAAGAATGGCCAATGGAATGAAAATGGAAACGACTGATCACCAATGACTAATTTTACAAAGCCCATTAGCAATCAGTTTTTTTGTAACACAGAACAATTGAAGAGAAGGCACATTTCAGAAATAAGCCGTGTCTGATTTTTAGCCCTGGGCAGAACCGTTTACTTGGGGAAATCCTATGGCACCTTCTCTTCACTGTGAAGCCTACTCCAACGTGCACTAAATTCAATGTGAATATCACCATCGATTCCTATATACACTGAGATTAGGTACAAAATACTCAGCTCATTTTAAACTCCATAGCTACCTAAATGCTTTAGGTACAAAATACTCAACTCTCATTTTAATCTCCACAGCTACCTATGTGCCTGAAGTTATTCAGAAGAAGCAGGGAGAAGGTTTAGGAAGAGGGTACTGTCAGTTGATGAATGCCTCCCAGTCTCAAGTAGAAATCCAGATTTCTTTCAAGTTATGGGAGGGAATAACCCCAGAAAGAGGGGTGATGTAGTGTTGTTTCCCACACACGGCTAGAAATGGATTTCTTACAGAGTTAGAGTCATTGCACTAAATGTTAGATACTGCACACCTGAATGAGGTAAACATTATATACCATAAAATACTTAGGGAAATGAATTGTTACAGCTTTATCTTTGGAAAAAAAAATGCTTCCTTCTTCACTGGACAATCCCAGAGTCAACAGACGTTTGCTTCCGAGTTGTCTTTGGAGGCGGAGGTGGGGGAGTCTTGCTGGGGAGCGGAGGTGGCAGGTGCTGGAAGAAACCAATTTTGATAGACCGCGTTAGCAATGAATGGATTTTTGAAACATTTTCTTTTTCATATATAACTGCGAGAGACAGCAGGTAAATCTGTAGCCCTCTGCCTCCTGAAAGCTTCTCTGCAGAATTTGCTACTATGAATACTGAATGCTCCTGGTCATTAGCTTAAAATACAACTTTTACTTCTGACAATGAAAAAATCTCTCAAGGCTTCATGATTAATTAGCTCAGTATTTCAGGAAAAATCTTTGGAAAGCACTGGAGAAGTTTATAATTCCCCACTTTATATCATGATAGGATATTGATTTCTTGGTCTGTATTGATTGCCCTCAGCCTCTACGCACTACAGAGCTTAAACGCCAAGTTGAAGCAACAGGTTCATTGCTTTTCCATTATTTTTGTATTTTGCACATTTAGAACACAAATAATAACTAAAAAAAAGGAAACCATTTAAAGAGATAAGTAACTTGCAATTTACTATTACACATTCAGTTATAATTACAATATTCAAAACAGAAATCCAGACTGTTCAAATATACATATTTTAAATCACTTCATATATCGTACAACAGAACAAGAGCACCCTTGGTTAGATTCACCGGCTAATTGGACAAATTAAAAAAGTCATTAAGGAAATTAAGACTTTTTTTCATAATGTTCAACCATATATGTGATAAAATCTGTTTCAGCCAGAGCTTGCGAAGACAGCCATTTGCTCGTACACTTTGCAGTCAGGTTTTCTAAAGCATTTTGGCTATGCAGCCAATACAGGTTTCCCATCACCGCACAGGCTGTACTGCAGTGTCACAGCTCATAAGTGCTGCTTTGGTTTTGTTTTTTTTTTTCCTAAGATTCTTCCCCCGCTCAGCCAGCCGCCGCCTTTTGTTCTCCTCCAAGCATAATGATGCTTTTTCATTTCCACTGTTTGTGTCTCAGCGTACCCGTCCCGCCTCACCCACCCCACACTAAACTGCTGGCTCCACGCGCTCACACTTAAAACCCGACGACACACACCGACTCTGCCAAATTTCCGTAATCACCACTACAAGAACAGTTCAAACACCTGAAAAGCCTTTGTATCACACTGCAGATACTGCACCTGCAACCTCGATACTCGTATTCCAACTTTTAGTAATATCTTGGACAGCGTAAGCGATGATTTCCCAGTCACAGTAAGAAACTGGTGTACAAGCAACTGATAAACCACGTGAAAGTGCATATGAATCAAGGCCACTCCTTTAAAAGATACCCAAAGCAGCTATCCAAAAAGAAGAGTGGTTCAGGGCGATGCCAGGACATTTCAGCCTTTCCTCTGCCACAAGGCACAAGCCCAGAGAGGCTCCTGATGCCCCTGCAATCTAGTGACCGGGAGTTCCCAGAGATGTGTAAGGGTAGAAGGAAAAAACTATCCGTAAGGTAACCGAATGGCCTCTTCAAAGCAGGTTTTAAGACAGCATGAAGTTATAAATCCAGCGCTTTTACCAGATGACAGTTTTACTAACATTGACTAAATTGAAAGGTAAGACTGCATACTGGCAGAGCCAGGAAGGCTGGATTTTTGCTGGAACAATTTTCCTGTATCCTACCTGGAAAGAAAGAAATACTTTCCAATCTGTTTTACAACTTCCCTCATTCCTGCCGGCTCTCCCCCATGGCAAACGGACAGGGTGCACAAACTACCGCCAGGCAAGCCGGGCCCTAAGCTTGTCCCGCCATTTTGCCACGGCAGAGACCCTCCACTCTCCATTCCCCCAGCCTCTCCAGCAGCACCACCAACACAGTGACGTGCGTGCCCTCACCTTCCTCCTTGGCTACAAAATGAGTTAGCCACTCACAAATCAATTGGTTTTAATCTGCTGCTGAATGAGAAACTCTGGACCAAGAGCAAGGCACCGGAGCCTGGGGGTGCCCTGTCGGGAAAGGCGCATTCCCCCGTCTACCAGGAAAAGCCTCCTGCTCACCGATGAGGACAAGGCTGAACATATTTGGCAATGAAGACTTTCATGTTCAGAGTCCGGTTATAGTTTAACCTGGCTCTTTTGAAGAAACAACCAGGTTATTAAAAGGTTTGAGTCTCAAAAGGGCACTGCTGCTTGAAATGCACATCTCAAGAAAACCCTGCTGAGTAAGCAGCATTCATTTACCAGAGCAGGCTCAAAACCGTGCACTATTTATTCCTGACTTACAGTGCGACACAATGACCTCCACGTCAGAAAACCAAGTCAACAGACTCATATGAAAAGCAGATAAAATAAGAATTTTATTTTACTAAATGCAAAACTGAAGTTTTGCTTTTTTTTTCCTTTTAATTAAAATGCTACTGCTGATCCATCTTTTAAATACGAACAGTCAGAGCCATTAAATATTTCCCCTACCTGACCAAATTCTTAACCTGGTAAGTTAAGTTAGCTCCTGAATCCCTACAAAGGCACCTCAGTAAGAGCTGGACTGTCCACATTATTTAGCCTCACACATTTAATTGTGATCTGCAGATTTCAAAATCTTTGAGAAACTGCTCAGTTACAGTCATGTACCAAGGCAGGGGCTCTGGGCAAACTCTGGGAAACGCTGGTGGTCTGCAGAACATCAGCGTACAACATGCAAGAACTCCTCACGGAGATGACATTCATTTCATAACTAAATAAACCAGCTGCCCCTCTAAAAGACATTACAAACCATAAAAATTTCCTCGGTGCTCTGCTCTCGGATGGTATCTTTAACTTCGTATTCATCACTAGAGAAAACTAACTCTGCTGATAGCATCATTTGTGAAAATCCATTTTGAATTTAAATAACAGTATATTGGCAATAATTCTCAATTCAATTAGATCAAAGACATTTCTCAAACAAATGAGCCCTTCATATTGATCAGAGAACAATCAAATTATCCCTGAAAACCTGCTTCTGAAGAACAGATACAATGCAAATACAATGAGAATAAGCTAAATATATATGCTATAAATAACAAGCACAAAACCTACCAGAGCTTAGATTCTGCAAGCAAATTAGGCAGAAAGAAATAACAGAGATAGGTAGATAATTATTATAATTGAATTTACAATTTCCATTAGAAAGTCGGATAAATTTAGTACATGTTCATTTATATAATAAGCTACCAGTGAATATATTAAGTAGGACGTGTAACGCTCGTTGGGGCAACATTAGTGAGAAATTAGCACGACAAAATGTGCCAGTATGGAACTGGTGCAACTCCAAATCGAGCCATCACTCCCACGACTGATACCCGCTCCCTTTTATTCCAGCACAGGAAGAAATTCAAGCACACTTTCTCTCCCCCTTTAATATGATACTCAGAAAATCATTACTAGGCTTATGAAGTTCATTTTTGCTACGCTTCCCCTTACAAACTTTGAAATACAAAATAGACTTTCCCTCGATTTTACATTTAATTAAGACCTGCTTTGCAGAGTTCATGTTTATATTTCAGCGGTTAATTGTGAACCTGCTGAATCTTAAAGCCGGCTTTTACTTTTTGACAAAACGATAGAGGCTGCTGGTTCACATTCAAACCTATTTTGGGCAGAATCTTTGACTCACGGGTACCTCAGGGGAAGCAGAAACCTTATGTAAAAGGCACATCTGCAACCCAGAAGCAATCTGTTCCTTCTGCTTCAAACATGAAATTGCTCCCATTTGTTTGTTTTCTCCTGATAAAGAAAAGAATCCAGTTTAAAAACATTTGTCTCCATTCTCTTACGGATATAAACTACACTACAGTATACACTTCAGGATGCAGTAAAAATCAATTAAAGAGGACGAAAAAATGCCTTTTTTTTCCTACTCTCTGAAGAAGCAAAATAAGACACTAGAATTATTTTTTAATCAGAAAAAACCCCCAACAAAATCAAATGAAATTTGATTCCCAAAAATGGTCCTTGTGACTCTGTAAGGGATTTCTTCCTGTGTAACTATTTTCAATTGAAATTAAATGGTCATCAATACGAGAAGCTATGGAGATCCAATCAAACGCACTCTAGTTTGAAGGATTAACAGATCTAATTAGGTCAGAACCAGTAGAAATGAGATGCGCACAGGCTATCAACTACACAGGACTGTGTAAATGCTTTCAAATACTGAGTTCTGAATTGTTCCTTCTCACTCACACCCTTGTTTTTAGCATGGAGCCGAGTCGCCTGACAAGCAGCAACTTGCTCATTTAGTATCTGCAATGAAAAATAAGACATAATGTGAGGTCTTGGTGGAATAACGCTCCCATTCTGGAAGAGCAATAATGCGCCAGCGGAGAAAATCAACCCAATTCCACTAATTTGAATCAAATTATAGACAGTTTAAGCTAAGTGGCTGTTCGACCCAGGGAGCAAAGTTATGTGGAAGATACCGCAGGTAACCCATGTAAAATGACTGTTTAAACTCCGTTGCCATACTTCATCTATTAAGAGTTTCACTTGACTGCGTATCACAGCTATTAGCGGCCCTTGCTGGAGTGTACTTTGATAAAAGAAAGTAATTTTATGAGTCTTTCTGCAGAGGTGTACTTTTTGTGTGCTCCTACCCGCCACGTGCTAAACATCCCCTCTCCTTGGGCGATGTGAACAATCCCTCAAAACGGGCAACACGGAATTGCTTCGAATCAGTATCTCAGATTTTCCCCATGGAGTTTTTTGGCAGGACCCTGGCTGGGGGAGCGGTGGGGTGTTCCCCGGAGGGATGCTCCCACAGGGGTGACGGCGGCGGACGAGGGGGAGAGTTCAACCTAGCAGAGGTCTGCATCCCTCATGCAGGGAGGACTTTGCTCCTGGTGCGTGCCAGCTCTGTTAAAGCACGGCTAATGCGATTTTCGCTCTGTTGAACCACATTTCTGCATGTGGAGGCTATTAGTATTTCAGACCGCGCTGGGTAACTCAGTTTTCAAAGGCACTGTTTTTCCGCTCGGGTCTGTACATAAACAGACCTCAGGAGTTATGAGCAATACCCTCAGAATTAGGTTTAGACTCCAGACTGAAACTGTATTT